GCTCGGGCACCTTGTGCTCAAAGAAATCTGCCAAGCTCTGAAAGACGTTGCGTTTGAGATACCTGGCCACTCGGCCACTGCCAATTTCATGAGAGAAGGACCACGGAAAGCTCAAGGGTCTCGCCAGTACATCATGGTGTCGTCAAAGAGATGGCTGGCAGCAGAACCCTGCAACATTCAAGAGGAGTGGGATGGACTCTTAGCTTTGCAACCTGGCGACTTAGTGTTTGCCTGTAGTTTGTTCCATTGTTAATGCATTCCTGCATGTTGGCCTGACATTTCTTCCTGACGTAGGGCATTGTTGCAGTTTGGTCCGTCTGTCAGGCACGTCGCTTTCTTTCTCATCCAGGGTACGCCTGTCACCTGATCGGGGTGTACGGGGCAATCTCGATTAGGATAGAGATCCCGGTGCTGTAGTTGCGGCTGTTACAAGTTCAGTTGAGAGCGATGTGGTCTTCCTTTGGTCGGTGAAACCTTTTTTGACGAAGTCTCTCAAACCCCAATTCGGAATCGCAGCTGCCAGAAGTAAATCATTACTCGAAAATCACAATGGTTGCTATCATCACACGCTGGCTCGGAGGGACAATCAATCCGAGTACGTGTTGCCTGAGGCGCCGATACTTATGTTCTGTCCACAAACAGCTAGAATGATCCTGAACGTCCATCGATGCCTCTACAGCGAGTCGCCATAGCTGAATTTAGACTAACTCATTAAGTAAAGGCATACTGCTGAAGACCTGAACCGCTGCAGACGACTCGCGCCTGCATGTCATTGAAAGTCTTGACCGTCTTCGAGAGGACGCTGGATGTCAGCACGGCACTGCTCTCGTGAAAACTGCAAGGGGCGGAAGAAGTGCCGACTACCTGCAAAATCCTGCAACGACATAGTTCATTCTGCACCGATTCCTGCCCAATGGAGCTTGCACGCTGTCCACCGCCGACAGCGTAGGTGGCGTCGCCTGCAACCGTGGCATGAAGGTTGCACTCCAGAGCCCAGAGATCCCAGCGAGGCTTGCAGCATTGTGCAATGCCTCATTGCTGGAGACCAAAGACTCGGACAAGCCCAGAAGATCGGTGATAATCACCTGATCACTTTCGAATCTTGTATGACCCTGTCGAGGCACCACATCTACCGACACACAGATTCGAACCCTCGCAGGCAGGCAGCACCTTGTCCAAGCTGGTCTCTCTTGTCTTCTCAAAGAACTGCACAATACTCGTAAGGCGCACCTTCGCAGATCTTTCTATGGCATCGCTGCCAGATTTCTAGAAAAGTTAAGTATCAAGAGTATTTGTCAACCCAGATGGGCCTCCATGACCGGAACATCCAGAGAAGGTATAGCTGCCTCAACATGATGCCATATGAGGCCATAAAGCTGGTTTACCGTGATTCATGACATGCTAAAGCCTCCCCGATCATCTGCGATATCCAATACCATGGCTGTCCAAGACCTCCCTCCTCGGCCTGACAGCGAAGCCACCATCTTGGACGGAACAATGCAAAACACCAACACCTCAACTTCATATCGGCAGGAGGCCAAATCCACGGAGTTCAGGTCCTGAAGACTGGCGGAGCGGCTTGGCTGTCAGCTCCTAGGGATCCAACAACCCTTCGATGGCGACTGCACGATCCTCGTTGATGCAATCGAGGTTGATGGCTACATAGTCCAAGTTAATGGTCTGACATGCAGGCCCGGGATTTCACGCTCATTATCAGCTAAAAGACTTGCAGCGCAGCCCACAACCCGAGCTTTTGAAACAACTTGAACGACCACTGTTTCGGTGAGCGACAGCTAGAATGCGATCACTACGGTAAACATGCGCTTGTGCCAAAGCAATTTGGGGGAGAAGGTGAGCTGGGTCTAACACATTCGATGCTTTTGGCAAACGGGCTCCTGTCAGCTAGCCGCATGAGAATGGCAGGCACGCAAAACCCAATGCAATCGCCCCTGCTTTGCATACATGGTGTATGGGCGTCGGGGTTCCCGAGCTGCAGCGGCCGTGAGACCATCTTCACCTCTGTTGCGGTCATTCTTGACCTTATCCTTGCGCCCCTGTTGCGAGCTGTTTCCAAATCTGTGGAAGGCACTCTTGACCCTTGATCCCGGTCTCGGGCAAGCTGCAGTAGGTCCTGCGCGATCTGTGCCAGGACCAGAGCGCCCCGAACCCGGGTCCAGCCAGGTAGAAGGCGGAACTCGCCGAGTTCACGGAAGCAGGGCGAAGACTCATTTCCAGGGCGGCTCTCAAGGTATGGCAAGGTAGAGTCCCACGTGTCACGACCGTTGCCATCAGCATTCTCTTGTTGGGCTTCAGCATTCTCTTGCTGGGCCTTCGAAGTTGTTTGTGCTGACAGAAACTCGTCGCCTCTTCTCGCTGCCCTCACTGTCCGTCCAACGACCCTCGGCTTGCTTCTTCCTGTTCCGGCCACCCTGGCTTGCCGTGAGCCCCACCATCCGCCAAAGCATTCACGCAGCGCGCAAAACCCACCGAGGGCCAGAGCCGACGCGTCAACGGTGCATCTCGAACATGCTGACGTCACAGATGATGGTGCCCTGTGGCACCTCGCGAAGCCTTGCGGGCTAAAGGCTTACCATCGCCGAAGCGAGACAACGTGTCAGCCTCAATTTTGACGGTGTTCGCCAGTGATGGGGCTGAGCGGCCTCCAGCTCCAGGCGTTCTAAACCCAAACTGATCTCTGCTGCGAGCTGATTGTTCCCGGCACCCTTGGAAGAAACGGCCGGGGCAATGACCAGAGCTGAAGCATTGTCGAGTGGATTTATTCGCGCATCGCTTCCACCTTGCGCAGGAGCTTCTTCGTCTTGGTCTTATCCA